GTCTTGCATTACGCATACAAGCCATGTTTTGCTCTATACTAACGCATTATAGATGCTTATTTTTCAAGTGCTGCGTTCAAGCACGGTGACCAATGGTGTGTGAAATTGGAGTGGCAATAAAATGTCCCCAAGGCCCATTGTTTTCCTGACCAGCAGAAGGAAAAGAGCATGACTCGTTAGGGAAGCGGAAACTGGCGTGTTGCAAATGAGAATCGTGTTCTGCGTGCTCTTGACAAACACGTCGAAGCAGTCTTACTCAAAGGTGCTGATACTTGCCTGGTTAGAACGAGAACAAGGTTACAGCGTGGATAGTCTAAGCAACGTGGTCTGACGCCGTGGATAGAACACCAGTCATAAGTTATGCACACCACAATGCATGGAATGGGCACGATGGGGGCGTCCGCTCGAAGCCACGAGACGTATCCTGCAGGTGTCTGCTACTTGGCCTGGTTCCGTTCGCGACTTGAATGACCTTGAACTTGACCCACTGGCTGTGAGCGTTGCACAGACTGCGAGTGTGGCGCCACGGCCGCACAGTGAGCCCGCTGCTGCGCGTGCGGCACCCACCACCGTTGCCTCCGGCACGTTCCTGTGTAGGGCACGGACGGGTCACGTGCTAACCGGTCCCGGCGCCGCCCGTAGGTGACCCATGTCACGTGCTGACCGGTCCTGGCGCTGCCCGTAGGCGTCCCATGTCACGTGCTGACCGGCCCCGGCGCTGCCCGTAGGTGACCCATGTCACGTGCTGACCGGTCCTGGCGCTGCCCGTAGGCGTCCCATGTCACGTGCTGACCGGTCCTGGCGCTGCCCGCAGGCATCTCGGGTCACGTGCGGGACGCTGCCGGCGCGCCGCTGCCGGCGCGGCGGTGCACCTCTCGGGTCCGTACGGACGACGGGCTCCTGAACCTGACCGGCGCCGGGCACTTCTCGGCGTTGCTGCCAGAGGGCACATACACCATCAACGTGATGAGCAGGCGGCACGCGGCCGGCGCCGGACGCCGGACGCGAGATGCCCCTCCGTGTAGGCCGTCGGCGGTCCCCCGGTGACCGTGCCGTGCCGTGGCTCTCTCTGTCTCTGGCGTAGGCAGGCACGACACCGTCCCGGAAGTGGCGCCGTCCGGCCGACCTCCCCGTGGTCTCGCCTGGAGCGAGCGGCTGCTGACGCCGGCCCAGAGGTGCGCTGTCTGGCCGGCCTCCTCGGGTCTCGCCTGGAGCGGGCGGGCGCTGACGCCGGCCCAGAGGTGGCGCTGTCTGGCCGGCCTCCTCGTGGTCTCGCCTGGAGCGGGCGGCTGTTGACGCCGCCCAGAGGTGGCACCGTCTGGCCGCCTCCTCGTGTTCTCGCCTGAGCGGGCGGCGCTGACGCCGGCCCAGAGTGGCACCGTCTGACCTGCCTCCTCGTGGTCTCGCCTGGAGCGGGCGGCTGTTGACGCCGGCCCAGAGTGGCACCGTCTGACCTGCCTCCTCGTGGTCTCGCCTGGAGCGGGCGGGCGCTGACGCCGGCCCGGATGCGGCGCCGTCTGACCGGCCTTCCTGCCCGGCAGTGACGCTGGACGGCTTCCAGGCGCGCTCGGAGCGCGTGCATGTCGGCCTGAACTCGCACGCCGACGCCAGCATGGTGCTGGAGAGCGCCAACCAGTCGGCTCATCTCAGCTCCCACCCGGCACCGGCGCCGCCGAGCTGCTGAACGGGCTGGCGCAACACTACACCCGAGATCAGCCGCTACTACAGTGGGCTGCCGCAACGCCACCTGCCGCCCGGCTGTGCCTTGCTCAGCAGTCACCACGCGGCGCCATGTTGACTAATGCACGGAGCCCACATACAGATCCGTCGCTCCGTTGCGGACCAGCCGGTCTTTGCTCGCGCACGGCCCGCTGGTGCTCGCGTCGCTCGCGGCGCCGCTGGTGCCGCCCCGCCGCTGTCCGGCGTCCTGCTGTGTGTCGGCCGGTACGCGTCGCAGCCCGCTGCTGACCGCCCGTGCGCCGGCGACGTTTCAGCATCGGCGGCGCAGGCGTGGACATCCCCTGCCTGGAAATGACGCCGGCATTCACGAGAAGGGCGGCGCGCTGACAAGCCGAGCGTGCTGCTCCTGGGCACCGTACGCGCCCACGAGCTGGTCAGTGACAGTTTGTCTCGCCCCGTGGTGGGAAGGACGAACAGGATAGCCGACGTGGAAGCAAACTAAGGCTCGTGCCAAATTTGAGTCGGAGAGTAATGAAAGGGTGTAATTGCGGCTAATGACCTCGTCAGTTTCGTACAACAAGGACGGAACACTGGCAGAAATCTGAAATAAAATGTGAATCTAACTGCCGTGCTGTCGTGCGAGTCGTCTCGCTCTCTGTCGTTGCCTGCTTTAGCCCGTCTGCTCCGTTGCTAGTGCGTCTACCGGTCGTCCCTGAGGTCCAATCTCGCGGCGTGGCCGGTAGGTGTCGCGCGAGCTGCTGCTCCAGCTGGCGACACACCTGGCCAGCCGGTACGCCTCCGACAGCGAGGTGGCCCGCCTGCTGGACCAGTATCGCGTGCTGGTGGTGCCGGCGCTCGATGGCTTGCACCGCTCCCAAACGCCCTCCTGTAACAACACGGGCCCGGAGCGTGACCTGGACACCAGCTTCAGCAGTGACGTCACCCCAGGTGCGCACCACCGTTGGCCTACGTGAGCCGGTGTCAGAGAGCCACCGTGTCAGGGAGGGCCGCCGCGTAAGGACCGTGTCAGGGAGGGCTGCTGTACTAACCGTGTCAGGACGGGCCACTGCACTGGCTGTGTGTCAGGGAGGGCTGCTGTACTAACCGTGTCAAGGAGGGCCGCTGTACTAACCGTGCCAGGGAGGGCCGCTGCACTGGCTGTGTGTCAGGGAGGGCCGTTGTACTGACTGTGTCAGGGAGAACCACTGTACTAACCGTGTGAAGGGGGGGGGGGGGGCATTGCAACTGGCTGTGTGTCAGGGAGGGTCGCTGTACTAACCGTGTCAGGGAGAGCCACTGCACTGGCTATGTGTCGGGGAGGGCCACTGTACTAAGCATGTGAAGAAAGGTCGCTGTACTGACCGTGTGAAGGAAGGCCACTGTACTGACTATGGTAGGGAGGGCCACTGCATTGGCCGTGTGTCAGGGAGGACTGCTGTACTGACCGTGTCAGAGAGGGCCGCTGTGCTGATCGTGTTAGGGTAGGCCTTTGTACTGACCGTGTTAGGGAGGGCCACTGTACTGACCGTGTGTCAGGGAGGGCTGCTGTACTGACCGTGTCAGAGAGGGCCGCTGCACTGACTGTGTGTCAGGGAGGGCCACTGTACTGACCGTGTGTCAGAGAGGGCCGCTGTACTGACTGTGTGTCAGGGAGGGCCGCTGTACTGACTGTGTGTCAGGGAGGACCGCTGTACTGACCGTGTGTCAGGGAGGACTGCTGTACTGACCGTGTCAGGGAGGGCCCGTGTACTGACCGTGTCAGGGAGGGCTGCTGTACTGACTGTTTCAGGGGGGGGGGGGGGCGCTGTACTGACGGTGTGTCAGGGAGGGCCGCTGTAATGGCCGTGTGTCAGGGAGGGCCGCTGTACTGACCTTGTGTCAGGGAGGGCGCTGTACTGACCGTGTTGTCTAGGGAGGACCGCTGTACTGACCGTGTGTCAGGGAGGGCTGCTGTACTGACCGCGCCGCCGGGTCCCCAGCGGCCGCGGCGCGGGAGCGAGCTGCCGGCCGAGACCGGGCGCTGATCAGCCTGGCTGGCCGAGCGGCGGCCCCGTGCGCACCGCTGGTGGTGCGCGCCGGCGCCGAGGCCGTCACGTTCCCGTACACGGCGCCGCGCCGCCAACCCTCAGCCGCACCCCGGCGCTCGCCACCGGCGACGAAACAGGTACGCCCACCTGCCGCCGCTCGCTCCCACTCCGTCCGTCCCCCCCAGGGGGGTGCAGACTGGGGACTGGTGTGCTCTGGTGTATCGGTGGCAAGTCGTGTTTTGATAGGCTCCGATAAGTTCAGTTTTTTTCCCCGCGTGTTCTTGCCGTTTTGCCTTCATCTGGAGGTGCTTTAATACCATTTGGCAGGTTGTGTATGAACATGGCCCTGCAGTGACATATGGAAGGCCTAGAAGCCGATGCTCATTTCACTTTCGCGAGCCGTTCGCCTGCACCTCCCGCCTATGGTTTCATCCTTGACCGGCGGGCTGCCTTGTCCCGCCTCTGACAGCGTTCCGTGGTCGCGTTGCGTCCTGTCTCTGACGCCGCTCCCCGTCGACAGACGTTCCGCTCGCTGGCGGCTGAGTACGTGCGCACCGAGGTCGGCGTCCGTCAACAGCACGGGCCGCTGCGACGGGCAGCGCGCTGCCCGGCGGGCTCGGCCACCAGGCCGACGTCCACCCACACTCCGGCAGTCTGGTGGTAAGGCCGGCGCGCCCGCCGCTCGCCCAGCCCGGCTCCTGCCGGCCTCCGTCTGCTTAGTCCGGTGGCCGGCTGACGCCCGGAGAAGCGATGTGTCTCTTTCAATCACACTGTGGATGTGCGTGGCTGCGTCCAGGCAGTGTGTTTTTCTCAGTGCTCGGTGGGTGGGGTGGGTCGCGGCCTAGGATGCCGCGGGACTCGTCGCCCCGGAACAGCACTGTGACGCCCCGTGACGCCAAGTGGCGCCCCGTGGCGCCCTGTGCCGCCCCGTGCCGTCCCAGGACAGCGCCGTGACGCCCCCTGCCGGCGTGTCGTCAGGACTACCTGTACGACGCAAACCTGACGCTGGCGCTGTCGGCGTTCGTGTCGTGCTGCCCGGGCCCGGACGTGGCCCAGCTGTCGGCGCTCTGGCGGCGCCACCGGCCAGCTATGCTGGGCTTCATCGCCCAGCAGCAGGGCATACAGGGTGAGTCACCCAGCAGTGGGGCACACACCGCAGTCACCCAGAGGGGTATACAAAGTCAGTCACCCAGCAGTTGGGCACACAGCCAGCCACTCAGCAGTGGGAGTATATGAAATCAGCCACCCTGCAGCGGGGCGTATTAGGTGAGGTACTCGGGTACATTGCAAACATAGATACGGTATGCAGGACGGTATGCAGGCCAGATGTGCACACTGATCGACTGACACTGCACCCATCCTGAGTCTGCCACTCAGCGTGTGCGGCTGTCATAGCTGACGTGGTGTCCGGCGCTCGGGTCTGCGTGACGCCGGCTGACGGCGCCGGGGTCTGCGTGACGCCGGCCTGACCTCGCTGCGCCGGCGCCGGCAGGCTTCGTGACGGACCAGCAGAACGCGCCGCTGGCGGGCGCCGTGCTCACGGTGAACGGCTCCACCTTCACCACCCGCACCGGCAGCGACGGCCAGTTCTGGCGGCCGCTCACGCCCGGTATGGCTCGCCGCCGGTGTGCGGGCGGCCACGCGCTGGCACCCAGGCTCGTGCGGCAGACGTTCGCTGGCGCGAAAAAAGAGTGTGGTTGAATGTCGAGGAGGCGGGAAGAGGCGCGTGCTGGTGGCCTGTAGCTGCAGCTGTGGACCCCGTGGCCGTGTCCTCCGCAGCTTTCTTTAGTGCTCTCAGGATGTAGTATCGTCATACGCGCGGCGTATCTGCAGGTGGATTAGTAGGCATGCGTTGTGGGTGCGGGGCGACCGTTTGCCGTCGTGCCACCATGCATCGCTCACAGCCGTCTGGACCTCGCTGAGTGCCGTGTCGCTCTGCGTCTATCCGCGGCGCCGCCCTCGTCCGTCCCGTCCCTCTCCGCCGCTCCGGGCCGCTGGTCCCAGCGCGTGCCGAGCCTGCGCTGCCGCGTGACCAGGGCCGCTCCGGGCAGGCGTGGTGACGGTGCATGTGTCGGCGCCGGCCCACCTGGCCGTCGAGAAGCTGGTGTCGGTGTTCGCCGGCCGGCCGACGCACCTGCAGGTGGCGCTGCAGCGGGACCGGCTGGTGGCCGGCATGCCCCGGATGGTACTCGTCATCCTGCTCGGTGAGGCGGCCGGTGGCGCGCCGGACGCGGGCGACGCCGCCGGGCGGAACCGCTGCCCGCCGTCGTACCCGTGACTGGCCGCCGCGCCTGGGCGGGGGCCCTGCCCAGCGTGCGGCGGTCGGACGCCCCGGGTTTCCTTGCCATTCGAGTGTCCGGGCGCGGCTGTGGTGCCGCCCGCGCGCCTCGGCGGAGCGTGGTTTGAAGACGCGTCGGGTGTCACTGGCCCGATGGTGCTGCCCGGCGGCCTGTGTGCAGGTGTACCTTCTGGCTGTGTCGTCGTCTGTAGACTCATTCGGCCTGATTCTAGCAGACTGTGTGTCCGTGTCTGCAGGCTCCCCCGGTCTGATACCAGCAGACTGTCCGTGCTTGCAGGCTCCTCGGTCTGATTCTAGCAGACTGTGTCTGTGTCTGCAGGATCCCTCGGTCTCATGCCTGCAGACTGTGTGTCCGTGTCTGTAGGCTCCTCGGCCCGATACCTGCGGGCTGTGTATGTCCGTGTCTGCAGGCTCCCTCGATCTGATGCGTGCAGGCTATGGTCCGTGTCTGTAGGCTCCCTCGGTCTGATACTAGCAGACTGTGTGTCCGTGTCTGCAGGCTCCCTCGGTGTGATGCCTGCAGGCTATGTGTCCGTGTCTGTAGGCTCCCTCGGTCTAATACCAGCAGACTGTGTCCGTGTCTGCAGGCTTCCTCGATCTGATGCTAGCAGACTGTGTGTCCGTGTCTGCAGGCTCCCTCGGTCTGATACCAGCAGACCGTGTGTCCGTGTCTGCAGGCTCCTCAGCCCGATACCTGCGGGCTGTGTGTCCGTGTTTGCAGGCTCCTCGGTCTTACGATGGTGTCTTCAGCGTGTGCATGTGTAAACTCTGGCCACCTAACTGTGTTTGCCGAGTCTGGTGGCGATGGTGATCTCTAGCTACAGCTGTGGACCCTGCGACCGTGTCTCCGCAGGCTCACTGGGCCTGGTGGCGGTGATCGTCTGCATGCTCTGCGTGACCCTGTGCACCAGCCGCTCTGGCCGCAAGCGCCGGGGACGCGACAACATGCGCAGCGTCTACGGCTTCCACCAGCTGAAGCAGCAGGCCAGCAAGACGCTGAACATGTACGAGGACGACTCGGACGAGGAAACGCTGGGCCAGTTCCATGACGTACCGCTCACCAAGACCAAAGCCGCGGGCGGTGAGTGCCGCCGGGCGAGCCGAGCTTCTTACGATGGCTGCGGCACCCGAGACGGCCTTCTCTGCTTTTGTATACGTTTTGTTGGCAGTTTTTGACGTCCAGGATCGGATGCCATGCGTTTTCTTTGAACTTTTCTGGAGCGTTTTCAAAAGGATGCGTGTAACGAAACGGGCGTTTTGCTTAACGCTTTTACTCCGCGGACCTTATACGACCAAAAGTCAACCTCATCGTGGGTGCATTCTCTTCCCGTGTCGAGCCGAACTTAGCCAGGCCTGTTTCCGTTACGCGACGCTCGGCGGCCTAAGGACAGGTCTGGCAGCCCCGTGCGTCTGGACGTGCTTCCGACGTTCCTGACATGGGTCGTTGCTCGTCTGTCCGCCAGGCGCTGCCCGGCCGCTGCGGCCGTTCCACGACCTGCCGTCGTCCGACAGTAGCTCCGAGGAGGAGGTGTTCATTCCGGGCGGACGCAGCTTGCTGCGGAGGTAGGCCGCCGACAGTCGTCACCGGCCACGCGCACGTGGAGACGCCTGCCGCGGAGGTAGGCCGCCTACAGCCGTCGCCGGCCACTCCTCGCACGTGGAGACGCCTGCTGCGGAGGTAGGCCGCCGACAGCCGTCGCCGGCCACTCCTCGCACGTGGAGACGCCTGCTGCGGAGGTAGGCCGCCGACAGCCGTCGCCGGCCACTTCTTGCACGTGGAGACGCCTGCTGCGGAGGTAGGCCGCCGACAGCCGTCGCCGGCTACTCCTCGCACGTGGGGACACCTGCTGCGGAGGTAGGCCGCCGACAGTCGTCGCCGCCGCTTCCTCGCACGTGGAGACGCCTGCTGCGGAGGTAGGCCGCCGACACCGTCACCGGCCACTCCTCGACGTGGAGACGCCTCTGCTGCGGAGGTAGGCCGCCGACAGCCGTCGCCGGCTACTCCTCGCACGTGGGGACACCTGCTGCGGAGGTAGGCCGCCGACAGTCGTCGCCGGCTACTCCTCGTACGTGGAGACGCGGACGCAGCCGCCCCCTCGCTCCGGCTCTCCGGCCGGATGTTCTGTGACGAACCGGCAGGCCGCCGGGGATACTGCCTGGCGGGGGTGGCCCGGACCGCGCCCCTCGTGCGGAACTGCCCCCGATGTTGACCCGAGGACGCTGCGCCGTGGCGGTACTGCCGACCGCGCCCCCCGTGCGGAGCTGCTCCCGTTGTTGACTCGTGGATTTCTGCGCCGTGGCGGTACTACTGCCGACCGCGCCCCTCAAGCGGAGCTGATCCCGTTGTTGACTCGAGGGCCGCTGCGCCGTGGCGGGTTCTGCCGACCGCGCCCCTCGTGCGGAAGCTGCTTCCGTTGTGTCTCGATGACTCTGCGACATTGTCATAGTTCCGGCTACGCCCTACGTACGGCGCTGCCGCTGGTGATGACGGCCGGGCTTGGCGCGGTGGCAGCGCAGGTATTCCCGGCTGCGTCCCTCGTGTGGAGCTGCTGCCGATGGTGGTCTGGTCCTCAGGCACTGTGGCGGCGCAGGGCGGCTGGGACGCCGTCTCTTGTAGTGGGCTGTCGTCCAGCCCCATGAGCTGCGCACAATGGTAACGGGGCTGAATTGTATAATTCAAGCCGACGGCTTGGATCTTTTACGCTTTTACGCGGGGTGATGTGCACTGGAGTGGGCTGTTGTAGTCTGTCACTAGAGTCTAACTTGTGTGAAGAAATGGAGCAATACAATTTACACAAAAGTGCAGCATTTTTGTTCCTCAGGCGGTGCGTGAAGACTGCGGAGGGATCACATTCGGGGGCATTTGTATACACTGAGAGCTCGTCTGACCACAGGTGCCGTCAAATATGGGATGCACAGCAGTCGGGACGCCCTATAGACGAAGGGCGATGGAGACCAATGATTTCGCGGTCCATTCTGGGATATTGTATAACTTCGATTCCGCTCGCGCTCCGTACTCCGCGGGGGCCGGCGTCGGTCGGAGGAGACGTGAAGGCCGGAGTGAGCTGTCAGCTTGTGCAGCCTGTAGGGATCGAAATGTGCTATGTGCTGGCTGTGAGGAGGCAAACTGCTTGCTGCCAGTACCCATCTGGGCTGAGAGTTGTGTACCAATGGGAGGTGCCCCTGGCGGCTCAAGTGTTTCTTAACTCTGGGGTCCGACGGCTGAATAAGACATGCCATGCCCGTCAGTGTGTGTGTGTGTGGGGAGGAGGGGGGGGGGGGGGGCTCGTCTTGCTTTCCCGAGTTCGGGAGACTGCCCCACCTCTGAGGTCACGTGACGTCACCTCTGAGTCACGTGACGTCACATCTGAGTCACGTGACGTCACATTTGAGTCACGTGACACCACCTTTGGCTCAGCGGTGACGTCACGAGAACCCTGGCATGGCAAGTCTTAATTGAAACGCCGTTTTGGCCTCGGACGATCGACTGCGCGATACGCCTGTTGTGATGATATGAGCTTCGGCGTGGTTCGTCAGCGCCTTCCTGGCGCGTGAGTTCGTTGTCGATCGGAGCTCGCTTCCAGCAGATCCAAGCTCCGTTTCTATATCAAACAGAAATCAAACGGCTGAATACACTGGGTTGAGACTCCGTTAACATCTGTTCGGCGCGTCGAGCAGCATCTAGCATTTGAGTCCGGCATTGCTATGAGGACATGCTGTGCAGTTTGGGAACTTTTGAACGCGACCCTGTGATTTCATGAAATTGTTCGCTCAACAAGAGCTAGTCGGTCTGTGACCATGATCGACAGCCATGCCAGAGGTGACCCCTTTGGGTTGTCCGAAAAACATGATATGTATTATGGATGGCAAATGGTTTGAATGTGCAGTGAAACGCTTGAGGGTGCGGTATAGAAATTTTTGTGAACTTGAGAGCGAGCTTGAAGATGGCGAGGGTATTTTGATGGAGTTGCTTATGTTTTAGTGGACATAGCAGGCCGGTCAAAAGCAAAATATGCAGAAAAACACCACTTAAATTGAGACAAGTCAGGGTCTCTGAAGTGCGATGTTTCCCATGCACATCGCATTGCAATAATGTCTGTTCCTGATAACTGAGCGTGAGCGTTGATAATCTCATAAAACCGCGTGTCGTCTTCTGATTTTTCAACCACCCACCACATAACAGTGCGCGCTGTCCCGTACCGACTTCCGCAGCCGTGCATTGCACCGCCGTGATGTCCCCCCCCCCCCCCCGCGCGGTAATGTGGCGCTACGGTGGCATTCAGCCGTCGCCGCTGACATCTGCGCGACCAAGACGGCTGTGGCGTACGGATGCGCCGGACGGGGTGTCAGCGGCACCAGCTGACCATGGGGTCGGTGGCGGCCGGGCCCGCGGCCGTCACACTTCCGGCTCGGTGGCGGCGTCGTCGGAGCCGCGTAAATCACGGCCGCTGTGGCCCTCCCTCAGCCGGCCGGCGGGCCGTGGGCCCGGCGGCCGCCGCTCGCGTGAGTGATGTGCAGCGGCCGGGCGGCGCCAGTCTGGTGCGTCCAGCGCCCGGTGCAGTACGGCGTCTCCCTCGCCGATCGTCGGTGGCGCAGCATGCGCCGCACGGCCGCGCGCCGTCCGAGCTCCGTGCTACTGGCCGCCGCGCTGCTGGCCGGCGGGCTGGTGAGCAGCGCGCGGGTGGCGTCTCCGTTCGTGGTGGCTCGGACGCTGGACCGGGTGAGCGCCGGTGGCCGCTGGAGGACGCCCACGAGCGTGCCAGAGACGACGTACGCCTACGTGCGGCGGGCGCGCCTGCAGAACGGGCCGGGGCCGCAGCCTGTGCGGCGTGCCGAGCCTGGAGCCGGGCCGGAGACAGGAATGGCCGGAGGGCCTTCCGCGGCCGGCCGGCGGCAGCTCGGCGGCGAGGCCCAGCCGGCCGGCGACCGAACCCGGGGCGGCCTGCAGGCAGTCCGCACGGACGCCAGGAGAAAAAGCAAGACGAGTCCAGCTCAGGTCATCACGGAGGAACTACCCTGGCGACCACGAGATGCCTATCAAGGCCACGCAGCCGACTCTCAGATCGTCCATGCGCCGGAGTGGTATGGAGGAGTCGGTCCCCGACACACCAGATCTGGTGTTGACGAGACAGCTGATCGGACGCCCAGCGATGACTTACAAACGGCTTTATATGGCATGGAGGCCGAAGTCCCTCATCTCTTCGACAACATGGGGAGTTTTGGCCCTACGGGCGAATATCTGCCCTCTGGCTTCTCGCAGTTCATGAACATCAGCCTTAGTCTGGGGTCACATGAGGCAGTGGACTCGTCTCGCTCGCCGTCCGCGCCTTCTGGTCCAGCTGCTAGCGGCCCGACCCGGCCCTACTCAAGCTCGGAGCCAGCCGAGGCCTCTCAGGCCCCCACGAAACTCACCGGGACGCCTGTGGAGGCCAGACCGTCTGCCACGGAGGTCTGGCTGCCTCCTGGGTTCGTTCGGCGGCCTACCGAGGAGGCCTGGCCTTCTGCTGAGGATGTCTGGCCGTCTGCCAAGGACACCTGGCCGTCTGCTGAGGATGTCTGGCCGTCCGCTGAGGAGACCTGGCCGTCTGCCGAGGAGGCCTGGCCTTCTGCCAAGGACACCTGGCCGTCTGCTGAGGAAACCTGGCTGTCTGCCGAGGAGGCGTGGCAGCCTGCTGACAAGGCGCGGCCGCTTGCTGAGTGGGCGCAGCCGCCTGCTGACGAGGCGCGGCCGCCCGCTGAGGAGGCACAGCAGCCCGCTGAGTGGGCGCGGCCGGACGAGCTGGTGTCGCGGCTGGGCATGTTGAGCAGGAGGGGCGCCGGGCACGGCGGCGCGCCGCTGCCGCCGGAGCTCACCAACAGTCACGTGGCGCTGCTGCAGCTGCTGTCGGCGGCCGGCGCCGAGAAGGTGCTGGCCGACCTGCGGCAAGGTCAGCCTGCGGCCGCGGCCGCCGACGAGCCCTGCCACTGCGGAGAGGTGGCCTCCCCCGGCACCGTGGTCGGCCTCACCGGGCTCGCCGCCCTGCTCATCTACATGCTCTCCATCAAGACCATCAACAGCGGCGGCCGCTCGCTCAAACGTAAGTATAGGTTGGGCGGCGAGCGACCGGGCAGGGTGGCAGCCAAAGACGAATTAGTCGAGTGTTTAGATAACTCGGATCAGTTGCCGAGCCTCAAGGCGCTTAAGTCTCGAGTCAAGCCGCTGTAATTATGCGCTAATTACTCCATTGAAGAGATAGAAATAGAGTACATCCACTCATAGGGCTTTGAGAACTTGTATGGCTATATCAATACAGAGTTATGAATTTCATTGACTAGAGTTTAATCAGGGATTAAGAGCTTCTATCTGCGCAACATTTATTCCCAATGTGGGTATGTGAAAAGTGGGATTTTCCGGTACTCCTGCAAGGCCGCGATTCTTTTTGCGGTTATTTGCGGTGTTATCGATGTTCTGCAGCGTACAAGCCACGTTTTGGTCTAATAGCTGCTCAAAGACCGTTCAGTCACATTGCGGTCCGCCCAGCAGCCAACAGCCACGTTGTGCTCCGCCCAACAGCCAGCAGCTACACTGTGCTCCTCCCAACAGCCAATAGCTGTTGCCAGGTCCTTTTTTGTGCGATAGGGTTGTCACATACCGTTAATGCGTGGATGCGTGTATGTTTTTATATTTTATCACTTTTCGTTATTTTGGGCATGCTGTTTTATCTCCTAGACCGATGACACGTAGCAGCCAAGAATGTATGTGGAGCGTCAGATGATGTCAAATATAACTACATTTTGCCCCGCCCACAGCCAATGGGTACGGCTACATCGAGAGCCTGCTGTCGGAGCTGGTCTCGGAGCACCTGGTGGACACGCCGCCGGCGCCGCAGTTC